GGGTTGGTGCCCTATCCCCGAGAGAGTGGCGGTGCAGTTCCTTTTCCTCCACAGGACTTGTAATCCGTGTGAATTTGTCTCATCTCAGCCACAACACCTCGGACATTGCTTGCTGGTGTCCGCATCAATGGAACACTACTCTGCCATAAAAGGTGAAAAACTGCCATCTTTGACAACATGGTCAGTTTTTGAGGATAAGTGAGATAAGTCAGCCAAAAAAAGGAAAATAACTATATGACTTCACTCACATGTGGAGCACAAAACAAACAAAAATTACAAATGAATAAAACAAACACAAACTCATAGATACAGGCATCATAATGGTAGCTACCACAGGGGGAAGGGCAAGATAGGTAAAGGGTCAAAATATACGGTAATGAACGAAACTAGATTTTTGGTGTAAGGAGCATGAAATAAGAGTATACAGATATCGAACTATAATGTTGTACACCTGAAATTTATATGATACTACCCATGTTACCTTAAAAAAAACAATTTTTTAATATTCTTTGGTCCTTTTCAATGAACATCTGAGCAAATAATATAAACAGTGTAACAACTTTACCTCAATGTGTTTCTGAATATTTCTATTACTGCTATTAATACACAGTAATTTTTGTTAGTGTTAATATAGGGAAGAATTAGTATTCAGTATTTCATAGCGCAGACCTTAAAGGAAAGGTACTGAAAGAGATAGGTCTGCCCTATAATTTTTTTTAAAAGATTAGTATCATCAGTGATAAGTCATGTGACTTGATATGAAAAGATTACTTTGCCCTGACCAGTATCTCAGTTGGTTAGAGTGTCATCCCGATATACCAAGGTTGTGGGTTCAATCCCTGGTCAGAACACATACAAGAATCAACCAATGACTGCAGAGACAAGTGAAACAACAAATTGATGTTTCCCTCTCCCTCTCTCAAATCAATAAAAACAAAACAAACAAAAGACACAGAAAACCGAGAAACTGCCACTAACCAAAGTACATTAAGTAGACATGAAGATTAATGTCCTATGGTATCCTCAATGAGATCAGGGAACAGAAAAGGACATTAGGGAAAAATTAATAAAATTTGAATAAATGGTGGAACTCAGTTAACTGTAACGTACCAATGTTGGTTCCTTAATTGTGACAGATGTACACGGTACTGTAAGATGTTAACAAGAGCAACTGGGTGAGAAAGAGATAGGGACTCACTGTATTATATTTGAGCTTCTTTAAAACTATCCTAAAATGTTTATTTAAATTAAATATATACATTTTTATATTTTTAAAATGCTCTTTACCCCAAAGAGTATTTCTCTGCTCTTTGTGGTAAAGAGCAGCTTTAGTAAATGCTGTTCTATTATGGAAGGGTGGTAAAGAGAAATGTGACTGTTAACTTCAACACTTATTATTAGAGCAGGCCATTCTTAGAATTCACTAGACATCTTAAAAAGTTGTGAAGCCATTTTCTTTTATAATAATAATAATAATATAATAATAATATATTATTATTATCCTCATTCAAGGACATTTTTTCATTGCTTTCAGAGAGAGGGGGAAGGAGAGAGGCAGACAAACATCAATGCAAGAGAGAAGTATCAAATGGTTTGCTTCCGTATGTGCCTGGACAGAGGATCAAACCCCAAGCCTAGGTATGCACCCTCACCAGGAATCAAACCTAAAACCTTTCAGTTATGGGACAAGGCTCCAACCAACTTAGTCACACCAGCCAGGGCTAGGATAATTATATTTTTAAAGGCACATGCCTTGTCCACAATAACAGTTAATTTTTTACTTTCTTCCAGTAACTGTCAGAATATTGGCCTAATGAAATAGTTTCTAGCAGACCTATTTCAAACATAGCACAAAGCTTATTTTTAAATTTTATCAAATACTTTTAGCTTTGAACTAGTTGGCAACATTATAATAGTCCTTCATCCTCTGAAATCACATAGGCCATTTTCCAGTTTGGCAATTCTATCTCCATAGGCTCAAAGGCTATCTGCAGAGGTTTAAAATCTGCTGGCCCTAGCTGGGTAGGTCAATTGGTTACAGCATGAACCTGATATGGCAAGGCTGCAGGTTCAATCCCTGGTCAAGGCACATACAAGAAGCAACCGATAATGCATAAATAAGTAGAACAAATAAATCAATTTTCTCTAAAATCAATACAAATGAAAACAATTTTTAAAATACTTTTAAAAACACATAAATTTGCTCATGTCACCCAGCTGTTTACAATTACTTAACCTTTTTGCATGGCAAACAAATCCCAATCTGGCCTCTGCCCCCCTTTTCAGTCATCACTCCCTTTCTCATTCCCTATGCTCACTCTCTGCCCAGTTCTCACAAGGCTTCTACTCATCTTTCAGATGAGATTGGGAGTGTTCAGGATGGTATGTCTGTAGACTCTACTTACCTTTCAAGTCTCAGCTCAACAACTGACCCATGCGAAGATGTTCAACCTTAATTACAATAAAAGAAATCCTCCCACCCCTCTGATTGGCAAATATTAAGAAAACAAATCTGATAATCCGATGGGTTCCTCCCCCCCCCACCTTAAGAAAGCCAGTAATTTCACATTTGTTCATGCTGAGTTTGTCTAAAGGTTCATTTAGGGGAACCCTCCAGGTCTTGGCTTCTGAATTTTTCTTTCTTTAAAATATTTTATTTATTTTTAAAGAAGGGAGAGGAAGGGAAGGAAAGAGGGAGAGAAACATGGATGTATGAAACATCGATGGGTTGCCTCTTGTATGCCCCTAACCAAGGACCTGCCCTGCAACCCAGGCATGTGCCCTGACCAGGAATCAAACTGGCAACCCTTCCGTCTGTAGGATAGCGCCCAACCCACTGAACCACACGTCAGGGCTGAATTTTTCTTAATAAAGTGCTCATAAAATAAAAAAGCATGTAGACAGAAAATGGAGGCTTTGTTACTAACTCAGATTGTCTTCAACTACTGTGAACTACATTTTCAGGCTGTCTAGAACGTTAGGCTAAAGGCATCCATGAAGCAAAAGTTCATGGTCTATAAAAAGAAAGCTTTTGTTCAGTTCTAGTTTATTCCCTCCCCTCCCTTTATGCCAGTTTCCCAAAGCGTGTGTATTCTTATAAAAGATCCCCAAATCCATTTGGAAAATGAGGCATAAATAAATCAAATGATCATAGATTCTAACAATTTAATGCTAGAATGCCTTTAATAGATTCAAAGTCTGTACCTGAAAACTCCCAGGCAGGAAAATTTGATCATTTCTGAGGCCCAGAATTCTGTGAGACAGTTCCAACTTTTCTTTAAATCAAATAAAATTGTGCATAATTTTTTTTAACTTGTCTTCACACTTCCTTTACACTTCAGTCCTAGACCAATACTTACTTACTCCATAGTAACCTTATAATGCCTGAAAACAATCTTCTTGCTTCTTAACCCTTTTCTTATCCACAGTTGTTTCAACTGTTCCTTAAATAGCACAGGTTTCCAAGTACCTCACCAGCCAGACCAGCCAGATCACCTTTCTCTGGACAAACTCTGTTAACAAATGGTCCCCAAATACCGTGTTTTCCAAACTTGAGCAGAGATTCCTGTTATTGGCTCATTTTCTAACCTAAACAAAGACCAAGAGGACTATTCACTCCCTTGGATCAGACACAACCCAGGACTTCTAAAAGGGTTGGGTTTCTCAGAGGAGGTCCCCAAGCCCCTCCGCGTGTTTCATCAATTAGCCCAGAGTTCGGACTCCCACTGAGAGCCCAGAAAATAGAAATGGCAGCCCTTGCTCGGCTCAGGGAACGCCTAAAAAACTGCTTGGAAAATGCGAAACAAAGTTTCATTTGTTAAAAAGCCCTGGGAGGAGGAAAAGGTTTTCCAAGGAGCAAGCGCCTCTGGGGCTGGGCAGGGGTACGGGGCTCCTACCTACAGCCCTTCCAAGACCGATCTGGTGGGGTCCTCGGGGGCCACAGCTGTACACCCACCCATTCCCCTCAGAACCTTTTCACTTAGGCTCCCTCTCTCACCCGTCAAGCTTACCGAGGACGAGGAGGCTCTCCGTGAGTCAGAATCACTCCTGGCCCCAGGACACCAAGACGTGCACCGCGGCAGGCGCAGCCGGAAGTGCGTCATAGCTCCGCCCGCGCACAGTACGGCGCGGCCGCAGAGACCCCTCTAGGAATTCCGGGCATCTCGGTGTCTTGGTGTACGCAGGAGAAGGAGGCGTCTCCAGTGCGAGATGAGTTGCCACCTGAGGGTTTACATCAGGGATCTTGCCGCCCCGCCCCTTGTAGGTTTTTACTAAGTAAGGTCCCATGTGAAGGCGGCGGCTTTGACCAGAAATGAGCAAATCGGGAGGGGTCAGCTGTGAACACCGTGACATTCCACCTGAGAGAATCTGGAGTATTTGTTCTTAGCTAGAAGACGGGGAGAGTGAGGGACAAAGCTGTCTTAGTTTTCTAATATGTGAAGTGTTGTCATTTGAAAAAGAAGTTTATATTATAGGAATCAAGGAACTGGTTTTAGAAGTACAATACAAGGAAGGACTTTATTTTTAAAAAGTTATTAAAATATAGCCACTTCCTGCATCATCTTGTGTTGTTTTGAAGAAGTGGAAGAGCCCTAGGAACAGGAAGGACAGTTAAGCAGAATGAATTTTGGGGGGTTAGATGATCTTTAACAACTTCCTACAGCTTGCCCCAGACTCCTATTAGTTTTCCCCTTAATAGAGGGAAGGAAGCTGTAAAAAAAAAAAATTCAGAGAGAAGGAAAGGGAGGTAGAAGGAGAGGGAGGGAAATAACATGAAAAGAAACACAGGTTGCCTCTCACATGCACCCCGACTGGGCATAACCCAAGCAGCTGCCATAATTTGGAATCAAACCCATGAAATTTTGCTTTGTGGAATCACACCCAACCACCTGGGCCATGGAAGCTAGGGCAAGGAGAAAGAAACTTTTTACAACACATTCACCATTACCACTCCCTCTGCACAGCTCCCTTGAGTACTTCAGTATGGGCCAGGTACTGTGTTAAGTGCTTGGTGTCAGTTCTTTATTGCTGCATGAAACACTACCCCCAAACTTTGTGCCTTAACACACAATTACTGTTTTTCACACGACCTCGCAAATCTGTGGATTGGCTGGTTTGTTCTGCTTCCTGTGGTATCAACCAAGGAGTTGGGATGTCTGGCAGTTGGTGTTGGCCCACAGACTGAAGTTCAATGGGGATGTTCGCCTGGGCCCTCCGTGCTCTTCCATGTGAGTCTTTCGGCTTGGCTGCTTGCGCTGTCTCCACATTATGACTGGGTTCCCTGAGAGGAACATTTTAAGAGGTCAAGGTGGAACTTGGAGATGTGTAGGGCCCAGCCTTGGAAGTTATATAAGTTATATAGCATCATTTTTACCACATTCTGTTGTTAAAATAGGGCTCTGGGCCAGATTCAAGTGGAAGAAAAACAGATTCTATCTTTTAGTCACACTGCAAGAGTATGTGGGCTGGGAGATGATGTGGCTGTCTTTGGAAAAAATGTACTACACACATTTATCTTCATTATATCAATCCCATGAAATATTATAATCCTGAGAATACTTACCCCAGTGAAATAGTAAAATCTTTATTTTGTAGATCAGGAAACGGGCTCAGAAGAGAAAGTAACTTTTCCAGTGTCATACAACGGATATGTGGGAAAGTTAAGATTCAAACTTGGCTTTCATTCTCCAAAGCCTATGCTTTTAAGCTCTATACTTCCTTTGCATAGGCTGGAGAAAGAATAAATGGTTAAAGGGAACAGAATCACTAGAACTGAAGGAGGAAACCAGGAAACCTGCATCTGTTCCATTAGCCACACGTGTTGATGCATTGGTCCTACTCTATCCAGCCACTTAGTCAAAGGATCTTTGATCTTTACCTAGTCATACAGCCAGTGAGTTGTGGTGCTGGGGCTTAAGGAATCCTTCCAATTCTGAGCAGAGGGACATAGTCACATAAGACTAGTGCCAAGAGAAGCCTTAAGGACAGTCTGGTTAAGCTCTTGTTTTCTGATGAAGAAACCAATGCCTGGAGAAGTCAGACACAAGGCACACTGGTAGCAGAGCTTAGGGTAGAATCCAAATTTTCTAATTCAATCCTGTGTCATTACTAGGTCTCAACAGATTCTGAAAGATATCATTAGAGATACCAAGATGCTGTCCATCCAAATCATATGGTATTAAAACAAGTTGCTCTAGAATGATATATATTATTTTCTTCCATTAATATAACCATGGCCATATGACAAGAGCACAGCAAAACAGACAAAGGAAAAGTTAGCCAATGTGCTGGTGACTTGCTGTGATGTATCACTGGCATTTCCTTTTCAGAATGGTTTTGATTTCTAGAAACCTCATACCCTTTCAATGAATTCATTTAAAAAAACACCAAGAACCTACAATGTCTCAGATATTGTGTTAAGGCACCAGGGAAAAGTGAAAAGTACATGCAGTTCTTAGCAGACATGCAATCAAGTAATTACAGATATGGTCAATAATAGAGATGAGACCAATAAGTGGTAACTGAATTGAATGTATCATCTTCCGGATCTACAGTCTGACCTATTGTAACATGAAAACTTCCTTTCTGTGATAGTCCTTTTTTTTTTTTATCCTTGCCTGAGGACATTTTTTCATTGCTTTGAAAGAAAGTGAGAGAGGGAAAGAAATATTGATGCAAGAGAAGAACATCAATTGGTTGCTTCCTGTATGTGCCCTGACTGGGGTTCGAACCCGCAACCTTTTAGTGTAGGGAATGAAGCTCCAGTCAACCAAACCACATTGGTCAGGGCAGTCCTCCGTTTCTAACCATTTTCGTCGCAGGGAGTTTACTACTTTAGAGGACAGTTCCTTCTTTCAGGAGAGTTCTCACTGGTAAAAATTCTCTCAAAGCAAAAATCTGCATCCCTATAATTTCAACTCATTGATCCTAGTCTTGATTAATCCTTTTTCACTCACAAAATGCATGTAGATGTTCTTCTTATCCCTTTAAATTATCACATGTGATTGTCTCAAAGATCACCTATAGCAGTTCCACAATCACGTCTGAAAGTTGCTTCTGAATCTTGGAATGTCAAGTCTGAACTGCCCTTGGGCACTCTGAGGGCCCACAGTTCCTCTTTCTCATTTAAATGACCTCCATACTCTCCCACTTTTACACTACTTGGTTCCCTTTTGTCTTGAAGAGTTATTTGGCTTGAAAAAGAAAAAGGATTCCTCTCCACTTTATAGAAGAAATCTGGAAGGGGAAAAGCTACCAGTGTGGGCCCTGGCTTTCTCCCTGCTTTTCCCTCAGGGAAAAGCCCAGTCATGATTCTCTCTAAAACAGATGCTGTCTGGATCTTCCTGGCATCTGCCATCACCTGTTTTTGCTGCCATCACTGTCCTTGGTCAGTAGAGGGTGATCAAACTTTTATTTCTCTTAGAACAAGGCTGGGCAAGTTTCTTGTCCGTTACAGTTCTGTAAACTTTCCTGTTTTCCTTCTAGAAGGAGTCCACATATATGGCATGTTGGGAAGCTGCGAATGAAAAAATGAGAAAATGAAAATAGAAATGGAGTGGTGTAGTTAGACAACCCCGCAGCTTAGCGCTGAAGCTCTGCTGCTAATGAGCATTGGGAGACTTAGATATGTGACTTGATTATCTGAAAGTGGTATAATATCTGCTCTGACAACCTTAAAGTGTTTGGATCATGTGAGAGTGAACTAGCTTTGCAACTAGCTATACCAACAGTAAGGGATTTTTAATTTTCAAAACTCCTGGCTATATTATTATTTCTGATCTCCTCTTTGCTTTAATGTTTGCCCCCACCAAGGGATAGATGTGGCTCCACCTATGACAGATCCTTTCTTCCATCCCATCCACTCTGGGGGTCAGGCCACCTACCTTCTCCGTAGTAAGGGTAGTTTCCTGCCAAGACTTTCACAATCTCAGAGAAGATTACAAAAGGTATCTGGTCTATCTCCCCAGCCCGCCCCCCATGCAAAATCCATTCCTGCTTAGGACCCCTGAGTATCCCCCTCCTCCCCAACCGCTTCCTGAATGAACTGATGCAGCCACCTGCTCTGGCTGGCTGTGCAGTTTCTTTCTAATCCCAGTGGCTTCTACTAGAGTCACTCCCTGTTGTGCAACTTGTGCCCTGCACAACCCCAGGGACCACCATTCATCTTATCAGGGAATTGTACAGTTATCTCAACTTGCCAGCAGAAGGCAGTCAAGTTTACTGAGGAAGAGGCACCTTTTTCTAATTTGCCCAAAATCCTGGTAGCAGCTGGGCAGAGCTGGCTTTACTTATCTGCCTTACTTATTGCTGAATCTCTTTCCTTTTATTATTCCTAACACCCAGCATATGGCTTGCCAGTACTATCTGTTGAAAGGGATTTAATTCTCTTTCTTGGAGTCAAGCAGAATAAACTGAAATCCTCTTCTAAGATGCAGGCCAAGTTCCCGGTGAGGTTTCTTCTCATCAAAGAAAGCCCTTGGTTGCACACAAGGTCACTTTGCTTTTGCCATCCTGCAGTCAGCCTCTCTCCCTTTTAAAATGTGCAATCCAGAACCAAATGCAGGGCACACAGTGACAGATAACCCTAGAGTCAGCTTGGCATCTCTTTTTGTTTAAGAATCTGGAGTGGAAGACGTCTAAGACTTGGAGGTAGTAGTAATAACTACTGGCAAAGGGACATGAGTAGTATGGGACAAGAAGGGCTGCTTAAACCTGTGCAGCAATTTTCATCTTTCCAGGGGGAATTTGATTCCTCAGAGGACTTGCTTGGGATTACAAAAGAAATTGCATCAGTGAAGAAGGACTGGGGCAAGGGAAAGGATTAAGTAAGGACTGGGGCAATTTGAGAGAATCACAGAGGCCGTGTGGGATCTGTCCATAACATCTGGGACTAAAGTGGGCCCACAGCCTGGGTCCTCAATTTTCACAAATATCAGATTTCAAAGTTACATGTTTTAGGGACTAACCAGATATAGTACAAGGCTGGCCTGTTTCACTTTTAAAAAGGAGTCTTCAGTGAGGGGTAAATGAATACTCAAAAGAGCTAGTGGCCCATGGAGAAAATAATAGCTAACATTTTGGAATAGTTATGGTAGGCTCTGTTGTAGGTGCTTTACATGTAATGGCTTATTTAATGCTCTATGCCCATTTTGCAGATGAGGAAACGAAGACAGCAAGTAATCGGTAGATAAATAATTCATTCTGGCTTCATACATAGGTGATGTACTAAAGTGGGAGAATTGAGTTCATAAAGAACAAGGGACATGAAGTAGTAGAAAGAACTTGGTTGCTGAGTCCGACACACCTGGTTTTAAAGTTAGCTCTGCCACTTAATGGATAAGCCACTTCCACCTGTCTTTGCAGAGTTCACATGTGGATTAGAGAAAATCTATGGTTATTATTCATGAGTGCAAGAAGAGGAGTTGAAAGACAGAGTAATACAAAGTGACAGAGTTTCAAGGAAATGGTCAAATACTGTAGAAACATAAGAATGAAGATACGGAAAGAAATTCCCCATCAGAACACTGGTGACCATTTGAGTGGTTGACATGAGGTACAAGGGGCTTGAAGATGGGGAATATCAACAGTGAAGAAATGAAAACTGGTTATGGCCCAACTCGTAATTTGGTAGCTAAAAAGGGCAAGGTCAAATAAAAGATATTTAAGTTTGGTTTTGCTCCCCAAAGCTACAAGTTTGTGCTTATTTAAATGTGGAACAGATTGTTAAGGGGTAAGGAGCCTGGAGGCACCAGGGCGAGTCCACATCCCTTGGCAGGCGGAAAGGGGTCCCAGGGAGCAGAAAGTGAAGATCACATCTGATGGCCTGAGGCCCTTGGGGAAGAATACTGAGGATATCTGCTGAGAAAGGGTGAGGTGAGGCTGTGGTAGGCCTGAGAGTTTGGGGAGCAGGAGAAACCCAGACTCTGAATCCAAGACTAAGGCAGAGAATGACTGTCTAGCAGGGGCAAGGGTAAGAATGAAGGTGGCCATGTCTGCGTATTTTCGCCCTGCAGCTTTCTGTAACCAAGGTTTATAAATGGAGGAAACCAGTCCAGAGCTTGAACTAGACTGAACAGAGGCTAAAAGCTGCTCTTGGTAGGTGTAAACCCTGACCCTTTTGATTCCTGGGACTCTTGTCTGCACTGGGGACACTGTAAGGCTCTGGTCCTCTCAATACCCAGGCCTTTAAACTTGGGACCAGAATCTCTCACAGGGCCCTTGTCCACAGCACTCTTTCAATAATATACCAGATTTCACTCTGGCTAGGTGGCTCAGTTGGTTGAAGTGTCATCCCATTCATCAAAAGGTTGCAGGTTCAACCCCCAGTCAGGGTGCATGTGGGAGGCAACTGACCGATCTCTCTCTCTCCCTTCCTCTAATATCAATAAATATATCCTTGGGTAAGGATTTTAAAAAATACTGGATTTCTTCCCTTTTCTGTCCACCCTGTCCCTTTCTGTTCTCTGGAATCATTTTCTAAAGTAAATCACTTGCACTCAAGTCGCCACCTCAGGTTCTGCTCTATGGAGGACGCAGGCCAACACAGACAGGACAGGGTGCAGTTACCCTGAACCAGGATTTGGCTGTGAAGCTACCTGGGTAAAAATATAGTTTATTCACATATGCTGCTTTTTATTTACTTAAAAGAATCACACTGAATTTGTTTCAATATATTATGCAATAACAAAATAAGATTATTAGGTTAGAGGTCAGTTTAAAAGTCTAAACCAGCAATTTTCAACCTTCTCACCTCATGGCACACATAAACCAATTACTAAAATTCTGCAACGCATTAAAAATATTTTTTGCTGATCTTACAAAAATAGGTATAATTTTGATTCATTCACACCGGACAGCTATTGTTGTGTTGGCTATTATCATTTAAAAAAACTTGACAATCTAAGGAAAGAGATGTCCATGCCCCTGACTAGTCAGGTATTGCATGTTTGAAAAATTCTTGCTGCACCCTGTTGAAAATGGCTGGTCTAAACTATGAAATTACACGCCATACGATTAGGATGTTCAATTTTTTTTTTTTTTTTTGACTGGGCTAAGTGGCTTTATTAGAGAAAGCCAGGATTACAAAGGACTTATGAATGCTGGTTGTACTGCATCTGTGGCTTGGCCTGACCAGTCTTTTCTCCCATTTGGCCATCTCGGGGGTCTGACCGCTTCCTTCCCCAGCACAGGCCAGGGAACCATGGACTTTACCTTCCAGCATGCGGCCAGCTACTTCCTGAGTGGTCAGAGCCTCCACCCCACATTGGCCCAGGGTAGCCTCATCTTCTAGGGCAGTGCCTGCCAGAAGCACCACTTGATCTTTTGGAGAGATGCCCTCCAGTGAGGCTACCTCAGCCCTGATCTGGGCAACAGTCTCCTGGCTAGTCACCTCAAGGGTGTGTAGCTCCTGGGCAGACAAAAAGCTGCATGTCGGTGACCGAACTGTGGCCTCTGTCAGGATGTTCAATTTTTAAAGATATGAATTAGTCAAAGATTACTTGAACGGTTCCATCTTATAAGAAAAGTGAGTGATCATTAAAAAGCTACTTTATTCTATAGCTTTTCATCTTGTTGCCCTTTCGAAGAACCTACCCAAAGCTTTAAGGTGGCGTTTCATAGGGAGCTCTTATGAAAGTACTTAAAACATCATTTGGATTGTGGGTTGCAGTTCCAGTTTTTAACTTAGAAAGTGTATTTTCTTTACCTCAAATGTTACTTATGCAACCAATGATGACAAAAAACAAAACCACCCCCACAAACATTGTCACCTAGAGATAATTTATTTTTACCATGACCCAGAAGAGAAAATAACATAGAGAATATTATGAATCCCCACAATTTCCTTCCCCAACTTCACTAATTTGTCAGATACCACCAGCCTCCTAAAATGGATCATCAACTACAAATGTATATACATTTTACTTTGCTGCCATTTCTCATGATTGCACACCTTCAGTAAATTAAGGTTTAAAAATTTCAGTGGTGTTCCCTACCTTAAAAAAAAAAGACACCTTTCTTCTAAGATTCCATTATTTACTGAAAGAAGTCTTTCTAGAACTGTTAATGAGTATTTAAAAGAACAAATTCATTTTTTAAATAATTTATTGAACACCTACCAAGCATGTGGACTCTTCAGACTAGGCCAGGTTTTAACAGCAACTTAATTCTGCAGGTATACAGAAACAGGTGTCTTCTTTTTGTCTAATTTATTCTAAACTATAAATCCAAGAACTGACAAAACAGAAAAGGTTTGTTCCATCCAAGACAGTGTTTGTTCTTGTTTTAAGCAAGACAATGTCTGACTTAGCTCTCTATATAGATTTAGGCTTATCATTTTGAGCTGGTTGTAATAATCTATATTTAACTGAAAGTTAATAAAAATACACGTTCATTTTAAAATAACTGATTTTGCTTGCATATCTCACCCCTTACCCCTAAACTCATGTATTTTTAGAACAAGATTTTCCTGCATACCCATTATCCACTTCTTCCCACCCCACACCCGTCATATGTCTTCCCATAAGAACCCCTGCTACTTGCAGAAGCATCTCTAAGTCTAACATGCTTTGTTCTTCCCGGGGCAGACTAAAACCTTAAACTGTTAACTAGCTGAGGTGAGAGGGAAGACAAGCAAGCACTGACCTGAACACACTCCCAGTTCCTTTCTCCTTCCACCAGGCTGCCTCATTACTCTTCCTTAGCTGGGAGTACAGAGAGAGCTGTTACAACCCTTCTCCCCACTCTTCTTCCCAGCATATCCAACCTTGTCAGGAGACGAAACAATAGCAGCTGCCCAGTTCCTTCTCTGTATCAAAGGAATTTAAAACCCAAATCCGAAACCAGAATTAAATCCAAGTTTCAATACTACCTTTCATTCACAGATCTCATTCTACGTTATCTTAAAATAGTCATACTCGTTCTCACTGCTTAATGAGTGCTTTCTAAAGGGAGAAAATAAATTTTACGACCAACTAACTTTGCTGATTACTGTGTAATTTGAAGTGAGACATGATTTAGTAAGTGGAGATGAAAATGCTAAGAGATCTTAAAAATTTGTTAAAGTAACAGCAGACCATTGTTCACAAGTCAACTTAATGCCCACTCTTTACCTTCCACTGTTTCAGGAGAAAAGAAAACCATGAGGTTGTGGTGTCTACTACTGAATAGAACCAGACCATCTGAAACTAAGGTCTTATGTAAGATAGTCTGTATTATGAGATGTCCAAAGTACTTCCCAAACGTTTGTTTGATCTGCAGAACTGGAGATGGCTTATCTCCCTATAACTTCAAGTTTGTTTCACAAAGCTTTGAAAACAGATAATTTTTCAGATATAATAAAAAATTAATTTTAATAGCAAAATAACTACTTTTAATGTATAGTAGTGTGTCCATTCTAAAAATGAAACCTAAATCTATGTTAGGAAAACTTTTCAAATAATGCTTTTTATTAAATTCTCCGGTAACAGTTGAAATAAAAAGTCTACTCTAACTTTTATGAAAAGATCTATTTATACCATTTAATTTCCTTTTCTCTGATTCTACATTTCACTTTGCAATCTGTAGACCTTTATTTAGTTTCCCAGGTGGGGAACCCCAGCCCCCTATTTTTGAGAAGTTGCTCAGAGAGAGACACACAAAAATATGGCTCCTCTAGCAAGTATGGCTGTCACCACTTGACTACATTATAACAGTTCCTCCAATTCACACAATGCATCTTCCATTAGGATGGTAGGATGAACCTGGTTGGCTTAGATGAGTACATCAGTATGACCAGACTCTGGAACAAAAGGTAATCAAATTCAGGATAAAAACTAGGAAAAAAAATTTTCACAGCTATTAATCATCACAAGCCTTCTCTCCTAATAAGCATAAACCAGGAAGAGTGGGAGCAGGGCAGGTACAGAGCACAGCCAACATGAATACTGCAAAATGCTGTCAGAAAAACTTCCTGCCATGCCAGGAACTGCAGGCATCTGTTTTTTCCAGGAAAGAGTCCATCTTGGTGTTTTCCCATCCTAAATTTTTAAAGTATAAACATTTAAGAGTTCCTGGGGGAAGAAGGACTATGGTTTATAGAATCCGGTCAACTTAAGTGGTCCCACTAGCCTTTCCGGTACTGACCCCACTCTCAGTTCACAGGGAAGACGCTGTTACTTCCTGAGGAGCTCAGACAACCCATTCTCTTTGCTTAAAATGGTGACCTGGCAGCTAGGAAGTCAACTTTCTGGTTTGAAAACTCCCAAGGAGCTGCAGATGTTTATAGGAATTATTCCATTTTAGCACCCTATTAACCTCTCTTACTTAACCCATCTACTCACCTTGTCTTCTGATTTGATAAGCACCAAACTATGAGGTTTCTCAAATTCCCCCTCAGTTCTGTGAACTGATTTTTTTTGTCTATAATCACATCAACTTTTTACTACTCACTCTAAAACTCTGCTCTTTTAAGTGTTGTGTTCTGTCAAATAGATTAAAGTAAAATACATTATCTGTCTACAGAGAGTATACAGAATAGCAACAGGGCTAGAGGTACAAAACACAGACACTGACATTAAGGTCATACAAAATATATATAGAAGTACTCAACATTGACAATTTTTGTAAGTTGTACATTTTGCTACCCCCCCCCCCATTTTTTTCCCCTCTGTGGATCCTCTGGAGTTAAGTGTCCTTTGCAGTGTTTCTAAAATTCATTACCACTGAAACATATTGATGGAATTTTTTTTCTGTCCAAAGCAACAAGTGCTACACATGAAAGGTTTCCTCACATAGAATATTAATAAAGTTTATTTACAGTGTAAGCTTTCTGATGCTAAGGGCTGAGATGTGATTAAAGGCTTTGCCACATTATCACATTTAAGAGGTTTCCCTTCCAGAATGAATTCACTGACGTACGTAAGATGTGAATTGTCTCACACAACAAACATATTGACCTCTCTGTACACATTCAGCATAGTTTCGCTTTTATGCCTCTAATAAAATACTAAGTGCCTTACATGTTAAGAAGGCACTTATATGAGGCACTTATGTAGCCTCATATACCTCTTCACATTGCCTGACAGGCCAGAGTAGAAACAAATACCTCACAGCTTGAAGAACTTTACTTCTCTTTATGGCAAGGTTAAGGTATTATTTTAAAGCGACCTTCAAAGATTTCCATTAGGTCGATTAACATGCTACTGCTTAACTATAGAGTAAACTGTTAACAGACTTTAGCCAGTCAGGAGCTACTGAGTTGACTATCCTGAGCACTAATTAGATGTCGTAAGCCTTTTTGTCCATAACCCAATTATACTTTGCATTGAGCAGCTGATAAAAGCAATGTAAATAGTTTAAATCAACATTTGTAGCCTGTTTTTTTTTTTCCCAGAAAATATATCTTCAAGTAGCTGCTTCAAGGAGTGCATCTGCTGAAGATATGAAGCAACTGCAGTAGCTATCCCACACAGTATGATATCCCAGAAAAATGGGAACTAAATGTGGGGGCACAGGTTGTATTTAACTTTTGTTAAACAAAATGGCTGAATTACATCAGCATGTAGTTCTGGGGAAAAAAAAGCCAATGTGGAACCAACCAAAGTTCTTCCCCTCTTAAGAGCAGTCAGTGCTTTGATCAGTGCCTGGAGTTAAAGCATCTCACCACTTTCAATTGCTTCTCAGCAGCAAGTCTTTTCTCAAAAGCACCAACAGTTTTCCATGCAACCACCATGTGGCTCACTGATGAAAATCCTAAAAGCATTTAACTTTACTGTACTTTAACACATAACTTACATATACTCTTCTGGATTATCTTTTTTTTCTTATATGAAATGGATAGAAATATTCTGGTCACTAGCTGACTTCTATGAAGTTTCCCCAGGAAACAGATGAAACTGCTTAGGGAGTATAGGGAAGCTGTGGTTGGTCCAAGTAATAGAAGCCAAAGAATGACTGCTGTGTAGTTTTAGTTTGGTCTGGAACTGAGGTCACGGCTACCCCCACCTCACTGGCTCCCCATAAAGACATGCTGTCTCATGGGCTTGAGTTGTTGGTTAGCAAACAGAATGAGTTTTAGTTCTGTTTCTTGATGGAAAATTTCAGTCTCTATGTGGGGTTCTTCTGTTACGGGGATAGTCTTCATATATGTTCTATGGTCAAAGTTCCTGCAGAGCTGTCCACAATAATTTGCATGCTCTCATGAGCTGAGTCATCTCTACCTGAATCCCTCATGACTACTTATGTAGCCTCCCAATACGTGGGTCTCTTGTATGTGTATCTGAAAATTCTGTCTTAGCTTCCAGACAGCCAAATGCATCCTCTTCCACAGATGATGAACAAGATCAAAGTTTTGTAACCTCATCTGTCTTCAGTGATGAGAAGACATTGTGCAGTATGACTTTGATACAACCAACCCTATCTTAGCAAGTCAGTCAACTTCTCAGAGCAACTAACACCATTTAGTAATGGCCTGGTAATGTTAAATGCTTTTGTGAAGTTTTTTGGAAAGTGTGGGGGAAAAAATGCTCCCTACATTTTCCTTTTTCTGAAAAGCAACAAAAACTACATTGTCTGAACTGTATCATTTCAAGTTACAAATGATTCAGAAATTGTCCAAATCATCACATTGTTCAGTAGCTGACTGAAGAAAATTCTGGCCAACATCTTTGTTACAGAAAGATGTCAAAAAATGGCCTTAGTATGTTTTTGTATTTTTCTTAAGATGATGACAATGGAGTCATTTCTGATATTCCATGGTACTCACTGATCCATGCTTAGAAAGAGTCTGTGCAGGCAGTTGGTGCCTTTCTTTTATAAGTAGGACAAGAATAGCATAAGACCTTGGAGCTTTAGCATGCCTCTGGCTCTGAATGTCCTCTTCAAAGGCTGGGTCAGGTTATGATATTTCAGGTACTCATGATTCACAGGGCTTCAGAAGTGCAAAAGTCCTGTTAGAAGTCAGGCACAATGAGCGCCTGTTATGCATTGCGCATTGTGTCCAGTGCTGTCAGGGATATAAGTATATCCCTTGTCTATCAAAGCATCTCTTTTGAGGGGAAATTAAAACTTTTGTGCATGAAACAATGAAGGATTAAAAGTCAGCATATAATCAAGTGCTAATGTGGAGAAATGGCATTTCAGAGTACGACTAGTGCTTTAGGGATTTCTTCCAGAAGGGAGAGAAATGTTTTGAATCATTGTTGCCATATCAGTAGAATTTATCTCAGTGATGAGGATAAACCATCTACATTTGTGGCAGTCCTTTGGAACTACGGACTGGTGCACATACCCTCTCTCAGGAAGAGATAGAAATCTTTGGTTTGATACTCATCGGCACAGTCCTAGATTTCTATAGCTTTGGTAGGCTACCAGTGATCATATATATAACTTATTATATGTATATATAACTAGTTTGAGCAGCATGTCCCAATGTAGTTTTTGTTTTGTCTATTTTTTGAGAAAGAAGGTATAGTGAGATGTTGGCCAACCAGGGCTTATTTGCAGCAAGCAGCATTTAACCACATTATCACTTTTACACAGCCAATCTCAATTTTTCAATTGTATATTGTGGTTGTTGAGAGTAAAATAGCGCCTCAAAGGTATCCTCCATACTTAAAAGCTCGACATTTTATTGTGTGTGCTTTTATCTCATATGGAAATATGTGGCTTATCCACACAATTAGCTTTTCCCTATAGGGGCTGTGTGGAAGAATATGCCTACAGACTATGCAAAGGCAGAACACTCCTAATCTAACTATAAGGATCCTTAAATGTGATTTAAAAAAAAAAATCTGTTGAGGATGTCTTTTCCCTTCCATAAGCACACATCGCTGAAATAATTTTAAAAACAAAAGGGGGAAATGGCTTGTCGACAAATTCTCACTTTACACACAACTTTTCAAGAATGCTCCAAATGCATCAAGGGAGGCTGGGCTGTACTCAGAGGCTCGCTCTCTGGTGTGGATTCTGTGATGCAGAGTGAGGGTAGAGCTCCGAGTAAAGGCCTTGCCACACTTAGTGCACTTATAGGGCTTTTCTCTGGTGTGAATTCGCCGATGCAAAATAAGGTATGAGTTTCGGTTGAAAGCTTTTCCACATTCACTACATTCATAGGGTTTCTCCCCAGTGTGGATTCTCTGATGTTTTGTAAGGTCTGAGCTCTGGCTGAAGGCTTTCCCACACTCATTACATTCATAAGGTTTCTCTCCAGAGTGGATTCGCTGATGCAGAATGAGATTTGAACTATGACTGAAGGCTTTGCCACACTCATTACATTCATGAGGTTTCTCTCCTGTGTGGATTCTCTGATGCAAGACAAGGTTTGAGTTCAGACTGAAGGCTTTCCCACACTCACTACATTCATAGGGCTTTTCTCCAGTGTGGATGATTTTATGGCGAATAAGGCTTGAACTCCTTGTGAAGCATTTACCACATTCATCACATCTATGAGACTTTGTTCCTGTTGGAACTTCTTCAGGGGTGTTAAAGTTTGAACTCAGACTGAAGCTTCTTCCCAATCCTTTACCCTTCTCCCTGGGACCTCTTTCTCCTGTGTTCGTTTTTTTTTCCTTGACCACAGCCAGCCCCGAATCTTTCTTTTCTTTTCCAGTTTTCTCCTCAAGATTCCTCTGCTGCCTTTCTGCTGTTCTGCTCTGCTGTTCACGTTTTTCTCCGAAATCTTTCTGGGTTCTTCCTCTTGTCTCCCCACGTGATGCTGAGTCTTCTGCGATTTCAGCCTTCGAGGTTGACTGCTCATTCTCATTCCTGCTTTCACAACCTGACACAATAAACAGAAAATACACATAGCACTTTTTTCCTTTTAATCTATAGGTTAATTGAGTGACACTTTTTTCTAGGAAGTTCCTACATCCCTGTAAAACAACTTGACATATTAATCAAAGATAAAATAGGAGAAAAGTAAGATAAAAAAAATAGAGTAAACAGGGAATGAAGTTGGGAAATGAGAGGGCAGGAAGAGTCAAAGGATAACAGAAGGAACGTGCAGAGGGGCCAGGAATGAACAGACCTGCTGGGGAATGAGCAGAGGAAACAGAACCAGTTAAGAAGGATGAGGAATTAAGGAACATAATAGGTAACAATCCACAGTTCTGTTTGGTTAACTGATAATTAATTTGAAGAAACAAATATACACAAAAAAATCATGTTCTGTTTCTAATACAAGAATCTGAGCTTAAAGAGAATGGACAAGTCTTTCCTAGAAAATGGTAAGTGATATTAACAGAAATAAAGGAATATCATTAGTAAAAGAAAAGAAGAAACTCCATTCTGTGAAATTTTTTAACCAATAAGGAGATGGTTAATGGCAAAACAAGGAGCTCTGAACTTGGCAGGTTACACGGACCTTCAGACATAGGAAATAACTGCTCTTCACCAGGGAGAGCAGCACAGAGCTGACAGCACTCAAATAATAGAAACAGGAGTGAAGAAGTTGGTTGGGGCATTAGTAAACATAATCAAAACCTTCACCGAAAGACAACTGGGAATAGAAAAGAAAATGAAAACAATTCCAGAGATAGCATATTAAAACACTGGAATTGATATATTCACTTTAAGGTGAGATTATAAACTGTTCAATAAACATACATTATTTTTACATATGTTTACGTACTAATTAGACCCCCCCCCCCCATACCCCAACTCTATTCTTTATTCGACCTTAAGAAACTTGTCGCAGCGGGTCTGTACTATCCCACACAGGTCCTCGAATGCACGCAACTCCTTAGGGAGCTGTGAAATATTTAACCCCTGTCTTTAGTGATGAAATTGCCATAAATACTAAACCAACTGTAAGGAAGAAATTGGTCTACTTCTGAATTCCAAGCCAAGGTCCTTGACTCATGGATACTCCCCAGACTGAACTGAATTTTTAAAAAAATTTTTCTTGGAGTAGGTAATACCCAGCTCATAAACATGGATCAGTTCTTTGGCTTAATCTTCAACTAATCCAAAGAGTAAGTACTAAGCAACCATAAATCCCAGGTATCCCTATGGTGCGAAGCAAAATTTATGGTTTCTTTAGTAACATCCGTTCTTTATGAAGTTTCCCTTCATTTACCCTCCCTGTCTTCCCCAGGCAGAAGCCTCACAGTGGACTTCCCTATGACAGAACTTATTTGAGAAGCTCCTTTGCAGTATTGTCTCTCAGGGGCTGACACCTAGCAGAGACAAATGGGAATGTTTGTCAACTGTGTCTCTGTCTTATCTGGTTGAGGCTGCTTAGAACTTCTTTGTTCTTACTATACACCCAGGAGCCAGAGCTCTTCACAGATTACTATTTGGTTTGAAAACTGGGGATCCTAATCACAAGAGAGGTATAGGTGTAAGTTTATAGAATTATGCAAAGCTGTCATACAGAAGCACCTACAAGATAAAAGAAGACAGAAAAAGCCCATAGAAGGATGCTTGCTTGCTTTGGTAGGTTTAGGAACATGGTTCCAAGTCAGAAGTAGAACCAATGATTAATTCTCACTTGCCCCTCTACACTAGGAAATACAGATACTCCCTGAATAGAGGCATTTAAATTGTAATCCACGGGGAGTAGAGCAGAATCTTCCCAGGTAACAGAGTGGTGGAAGGGATGAGGAATCAGAATATGAGAGCATTTCTGATTTCAAACAATAAAAACTACCTAGAGGTGGTTAAAAAAAAAAATCTGCCCTGGCCGATGTGACTCAGTTGATTGAGTCCCAGCCTGTAAAATGAAAGGTCACTAGAGTTCAGTTCCTGGTCAGGGAACATGCCTGGGTTGTGGGCTGGTTCCCCAGCTCGGGGGCATGCAAGAGACAACTGATCAATGCACACCGGTGTTTCTCTCCCTCTCTTTCTCTCTCCCTTCTCCCTCTAAAAATAAACAAAATCTTAAAAAAGGATCCACTTGTAATCAGGGAGTCACAGTACCAGGCTTTAGGAAGTTAAATGTTCTCATTCTCTATTTGGTCTAAAGCAAGAGGGTCAGTAGTCTCTAAATCCTTGTCAGCACTCAACTGAACACATCAGAGACCCACAACTAACAAAAAGAAGCAAAGCAATCTCATAAGACAATACTCCTGCAGTCTTACCCTGGGAAAACACGTTCCCATAAGTCTCCTGCCTGCTGTCCCTACTGAGATTCCTCCGAGCCAGGTTCTGACATCCCCATTCCTCCAGGATAAGGGACACGGCCATGTCCTCGATCTTCACCATCGCCTGAAATATGAAATTCCCAGACTCAGTCCCCCAAAGTTCAGACACAAACCCATTGCCCAAACCTGGGGTTAGGGACAGAGGTGATTTACAAACCTACAGGGTACAGGGGAAAAAAAGGTAACCATGCCAGGCTCTGGTGGACTACGGGGTGAGTGGGTGCAGCTTCTCTGTGGGCAGGGACTTCAAGAGTTGAGTGTCCTGGGTGGAGATTGTTAAAAAGACCTCCAGGAAGAGACGCAGATATGAGGGATTCAGGAGGGCAGAGGGGCCCACAGCTCACCTGGGAATCTGCCGTGAACAGTGCAGATGCCGTTGCCTGGTCTCTGGGACTCTCCTCGTGATGAGAGGCAGGAACATGGGTGGTAGGAAGAGCTGAGCGAGGAGAAAGAACTAAGTAAAATCTGCTCTGCTCTTGGCCTGCCCTCTAAGAAGGGCCCAGAGGCACTCTTTTTTCCTGTTTCACAATATTCAATGAAGGTAATCAGAATTTAATTCTCTCTAGTTACAGAATAGGTAACTAGAGAGAATTAAAAAAGAAAAACCATGACCTCTGCTTTCCCAATTATTTCTATTCTTAGGCAGGCCAAGGAGTCATATAAAAGGATCATTAAAATTATCTGATTCAATCCCTGTGTTTTAAAGAATAGGTAACTGAGAGAGTACCCTTGAGAGGGTAAATAACTTGTCTAAAGTTATTCATTTAAGAATAGCTAAGTCAGACCTAGCACCCAGGTTTCTACTCTTAGCTACAGAAGTAGGTAACATTCAGCCCATGATTCAAGCCTGGCTCAAAATTTAATTTTCTCCAGTCTAAAGAACAAGTAATAGGACATCAGAATACCATTTAGGCCCTGGTCATGTAGCTAAGTTGGTCGAGGCATCCCAGTATGCTGAGGTTGCGGGTTTGATCCCTGGTCAGAGCATGTATAAGACTCAACCAGCTAATGCATAAATAAGTGGCAACAAACTGATGTTTCTATCTCCACCCACTTTAAAATCAATACAAATTTTAAAACAACCCTATTTGTTAAATGCGACATACCTTTACAAATATTTAGTAGTAATCTTGAAATAAAGGTAGGAAGGGGGGGTCTTCCTACTTCCGGGTTAAGTTTTGCCATTTTTTGTCCCTCTACTTTTCTCCCTCACATATCCGGTTTTTATTATTGTTTTTAATGAGTTTATTTATTTATTTTTAGAGACAGGGGAAGGGGGGGAGAGAGAGAAACATCAGTGTGTGTTTATCTCTCATGTGCTCTCTCCACTGGGGACCTGGCCCACAACCCAGGCATGTGCCTTGACTGGGAATCAAACCAGTGACCCTTTGGTTCACAGGCCTGTGATCAATCTACTGAGCCAAACCAGCCAAGGCCATATCCAGTTTTTTGATGAAATGTATATACATGGTTTAAATGTTAATGAGACATTTATAAAGGTATAAAGGCATATGACATTCACCTAGTAAAAAATATCTATATCATATAATCACATTTTCTAATTTCTAAAAATTAGAAAATTTAAAAAAATTAAATATATTTTATTGATTATGCTATTATAGTTGTCCCATTTTTCCCTCCACTCCCCTCCACCCCACATACCCTCTCCTACCCATACTCCCTTTAGTTCATGTCCATGTGTCATACTTTAAAGTTCTTTAGCTTCCATATTTCCCATACTATCTTACCCTCCCCCTATTTTCTACCTACCATCTATGCTACTTATTCTCTGTACCTTTCCCCCCTTCTCCTCTTCCCACTCCCATTGCTAACCCTCCCTGTGATCTCCATTTTTGTAATTATGTTCCTGTTCTAGTTGTTTGCTTAGTTAGTTTTTGTTTTAGGTGTGGTTGTTAATAATTGTGTTTGCTGTCTTTTTACTATACATGTTTTTTATCTTCTTTTTCTTAGGTAAGTCCCTTTGATCTGCCTTTCCATTCTAAATGAAAGCTTTGCTGCATAGAGCGATCTTGCATGGAGGTCCTTGCCTTTCATGACTTGGAATACTTCTTTCCAGCCCCCTCTAGCCTGTAAGGTCTCTTTTGAGAAATCAGCTGACAATTGGATGGGAACTCCTGTGTAGGTAACTGTCTACTTATCTCTTGCTGCTTCCAGGATTCTCTACCTCATTTTAATCTTGGGTAATGTAATTATGATGTGTGTTGATGTGTTCCTCCTTTGGTTCAACTTCTTTGGGACTCTCTGAGCTTCCTGGACTTCCTGGAGGTCTATTTCCTTTGCCAGACTGGGGAAGTTCTCCTTTATTATTTGTTCAAATAACTTTTCCACTTGTTGCTCTTCCTCTTCTCCTTCTGTACCCCTATAATTCGGATGTTAGAATATTTAAAGATGTCCTGGAGGTTCTTAAGCCTCTCCTCATTTATTTGAATTCTTGTTTCCTCATTTTCTGTTTGGTTGTTTCTCTCTTCCTTCTGGTCCACTCCATTGATTTGAATCCCAGTTTTCTCCCTATCACTATTGGTTCCCTGTACATTTTCCTTTATTTCACTTAGCATAGCCTTCATTTTTTTTCATCTAATTTGCAACCAAATTCAACCAATTCTGTGAGCATCCTGATCACCAGTGCTTTGAACTGTGCATCTGATAGGTTGGCTATCTCTGTCACTTAGCTGCATTTGTTCTGGAGCTCTGATCTATTCTTTTGTTTGGACTATTTTTGTTGTTGTTTGTTTTGTTGCGCCTGTTATATACAAGGGGTGGAGCCTTGGGTGTTCACCTGGGCGGGTCAATCCAGTCTCTGGGTTGTGATCCTGTATGTTCGGCAGGGGTCCAAGAAGGAACAATGGTGCTTGCTTCACTCTCTGCAGGATTTATCACTTCTGCCACCTCCCCCAAGCAAACTGGGTCCTTCTGGTGCTGGTTCCTGTGTGGGTGCCTGGTTTATCTGCACATGAATGTGGGACCGCCCGGTTCTGCAAGCTGCCTTGCATGCCAAGCCCCTCCACAATCTGCCATCTCACTGGATCTACCTGCTGCCGCCCCATGTGCCCAGGGTTTGCCAGCCACCACTTTTTTTATTTTGCTGTGATCCCTCTCCACCCAGCTGCCTGACTCCGCCCCTCCTACTGGTCTGGATGAATGCATCTAGTTTAACTCCTTGGTTGTAGGATTTCCATACAGTTCAATTTTCTGTCAGTATTGGTTGTTATTTTGTTTCTAAATTTTTGTTGTCCGTATTTTGGTTGTGTGAGGAGGCAGTGTGTCTACCTATGCCTCCATCTAAGCCAGGAGTCCCAATTAGAAAAAATTTTAAATGCAAAATTAAAATCCTCCCTTGCTAAGTAATATTACAGAAATTAATTTAAACTGAATTACTAAACTTGTAACTATTTCAGACAGTACAATAATAAAATAAGCTAAAGCCAAATGTACGAAAAGATCAAGTACCTAGCACTTTAACCTTCTGGGAGTTAGGAAAACACTCTAGATGATGTATAGCACAAAGAAGAAATTGAGAATAAATGCATATGCCTCAATTTACTAAGCATTATTTACTAAGTAACAACTATATATACCAGGGTCTCTTAAAACTGTTATTTCGATAACCTGAAGCTCTAACCTGGCACTTAAAACCATTAATACCCTCTTCAATTTCCTGACGTCACCCTTGTGGAGTGTGGAGACCTTATATATCCTAGAAGGTCATAAATGGGACTGTGTGGACAGTGGTGGGTTAAACATCACAATGTACTGATATATATGGATTTCTGCGGCATGAATGCTGGCTATCCTCCAGAAAGCATAGAAGAGAATACTTCCTTAAGCTCTAATAATTAAACTGATATTTATTTCTATGACCCTGAAATAATGCTTTTCCTCATGTTCTTCCACCAAAAACAATAAAATAAACTTTAAAATTGACTCTATAAAGTAATTTATGATGTACTATAGTGTTTCAAAACCTAGGCTGAAAGTATATTATTTCTTCTAAGCTCTTTCCTATTAAAAAAAACACAAACAAACAAAACCCCCCAAATCTGTAAGACATCCAGAATGCTAACACGTCAATAAACAATGTAATGTCCATCCAAGTTCATTATGCCCATTTTATTTACTTCTTTAGTAACACTTAACTCCTGAGATTGGTGTGTAAGTTATATTTCTCCTAATAGTAATGGCAATAATGTATAATGATAAAAACAAGCATGCTTCTTTATTATGGGTACTTAGCAAAACAGAGAGGGCATACCCATTCCGGAACGCCTTGCTTCTTTTCCCCACAACAAACCTTGCTTCTTACCTCGTGACTGTAAGAGGCGGGGTTTCCGAGATGAATGCTTGAAATGGGACTGGGTGGTCTCATGATGGTCAAAGCTTGAGGACTCCTGTATGGGATCCAGAGGCACCATCCCCCTTGCAAGCATCTCAGGTCCATGAACTTGACCTGGGACCTGAGGACAGACAGGTTGCGTTTGTTAATATGTTACTTTTTAATGAGGACTTCAAATAAATAGAAAAGAACAAAAGTATACCAGGATGCAGGGGAGAGAAGGCCAGAATACTTTTAATTTCCAAGCAAAGCAGGGGGAATAACCACTACAGACAACTGATAACTAGCTTATATTACTAGCAGCTTATATATTAGTTTTTTTATATAGACAGACAACATTATATAAGGTCTATTCCAAAAATATCCAGCCATGTACTATGAAAAAGACATTTATTGAAGATATAAGATACAAGACACATTGTACATAGGACAATGACACCCTAGTCCCCTTCAAAGTAGGCACCTTGGGGCCTCACACAGTTCTTCCAATCATCATCAGCTGCTCTGTTATATTTTCCTGAATCTCATTGATGGTGTGAAATCTCTCCCCTTTCAAAGGTGATTTTACCTTTGGGAAAAGCTGGAAGTCACAGAGCACCAAATCTGGGCTGTAAGGGGGCTAAGTTACCTGGGAGGATTTGATGTTTCACACACAAAAAACTCTCTGCGTAAGACGTGATGCATGAGTGGATATATTGTCTTGGTGAAGCTGCCAATCACCAGGAGCCCATAGCTGTGGCCTTCTGGATCACCCTAATAGTTTCCGTGGAGGAATATTCATGCTTACCACAAAATTTGATGCAGATCTGTTGCTCTACTCATTCAGTCATTTTGAATGAAACAGCCACACAGTACACATGCTCACTCAATGGCATCCAATTCCTCCCCACTGACTAGTGTAGTGAAGCCATCAACGTTCATGCATGCGCATTGCAGTCCACTCTCCTTGGCTGCCAGGTTACATCAATGCCATGCAAACCATTCTCATTATAATAACAATGGCTGGACTTTTTCTGGGCAGACCTCATAAATACATATATGTGAATAAATATAGCTATTATATAAGTAGTAGCTTATATATTAACACTTATAACTAGCCTAATACTAAGACTACTAAACTAATTTTAAATCAGTAACTTTCTCTTTGTTCCAGTTTCAAATTCTGCGCTATAAAAGGCTCACACATAAATTTTACCCCTTCTCACCTGCTGTCCTGATAAATCAAGCTCCAAATCTTCCAGAAGGGTCACAGCCTCCTCCCCGCTATCAGGACGGTATTCCTGCAGCCAGACTTGAAGCTCCTTGGGCAGGATGGAAAGGAATTGCTCCAGCACCAGCAGCTCCAGGATCTGCTCCTTGGTGTTTATCTCTGGTCGTAGCCACTGATGACAAAGTTCCTTAAGTCGACTCAGAGCCTCTCGAGGCCCAAAAGTGTTCTGATAACAGAAGTGCCTGAAACGTTGACGGAAGATCTCTGGGTCAGGAGGAGGAGTCTCCTGCAGGCTGGAATCCTGCCCCCACATGTGGTCTTCCTCATCTTCCTCTTCCACCTTCACTATTACGATACCATCCTTCTCCTGGGCAGCCTGGGGGGACAGACCAGTCGCTTCCCTTGATTCGGCAGTCATCATTCAGGGTTAAAGAACTTGATCCAAACAGGGTCTGTGCTTTCCTTTCTGTCCTAGGAGATGTTTCTGATATGTTTCTGTAGTATTAAAAAAAGTAATTAGTACCTTTATGAAAAGTGACCTGTGCTGTCAATATATAAAGGATTACTTTATTTCCTGTATAAAAGATGAACATGGAGAGGACTTCCAGTCAAGATGGCAGTGGCATAAACAGAAATGGCTTCCCTCTTTGCACACCCACATCAAAATTACAACTAAGATATAGAACAGCCATCACTCAGAACTGTCAGAAATCAAGTTGGATGAAGTCTGACAACTACGGAATAAAAAAAACCACATCTGTTCAGACTGGTAGGAGGAGCACAGACACAGAATGGGTTGATCCCAAATCACGGGTAGTGAATAAGTTTGGGAGGGATACAATGGGAACAAGGAGCACCAGCCCCACACTAGGTACCCCAGCCCAGGGTTCCAGTGCCAAGAAGATAAGTCCCCACAACTTTTGGCTAAAAAAACCCAGCGAGAATTGAGTTGGTGGAAGAAACTTCTGGAGCCCCAAGTAGTCCCTCTTAAAGAACGCACACATGGACTCACCTACTCAGACTCACTCCCTCTGAGTTCCAGCACTGAGATAGTAGCTTGAAAGGCACCAGTGGCATACAGGGAGGAACTGAAGTGTTAGGCATCAAGGTGAGCAGAGCCCACTGTCCCACTTCTAAACCCTCCCTCTACAGAGCCAGAGCCAGAGCCAGAAAGCTGGTGCCTCTAATACTCCATCAACCTGGCTAACACTGTTTAACCCCCTTGGAGATTTCCAGACTCTGCCCCATCCAACTTATGGGCTCACCCAAGCTGCTTTTCCACATGAAAGGCTGGTCTTTGCTCATGCTGCAAACCTTCCTAAAACCTCTCAAACAATAAACAGCTGGCTTCAGTGAGCCCCAGGCCTGGCACTAGCAGCAGCCAGCCTAAATTCATAGCTTGGCTTCACCTGGCAATCTCCAAGCCCAGCACAAGCACCAGCCATCTCAGATTGCTTTACAACTCAAGCAGGGTGGCACCAGGAAAAACATTGGTGGGGGGATGACCTTGGCCTGCACCACCCAGGAAACCCCAGAGCCAATGCACCCAGTGGACAGCTACAGACCACACTGGAGTACCACTATGCTGCCCCAGCACAGCTAATTCTCTACAGAGGGCAGAGGTTGGTGCTAAGTGGTCACCGCCAATCCTTGCTGTTGACCGGCCTGGGCAAATCCCTCCCATTGATCTGCCAACAGCAAACCAAGCTCAACTACAAGAGGAAGGTGTTCTCAGCCCACACGAAGGGTGCAACTTGAGTACTCAGCTTGGGTGATAGAGCAGGCTGTGCCACTGGATCCTACGCCAAAACGAGGATACAAAGAAACATGGCCCAAATGAAAGAATAAAGCAAAACTCCAGAAAAAGAGCTAAATGAAATGGAGATAAGCAATCTATCTGATACAGAGTTTAAAACACTGGCTATAAGGATGCTCAAGGACCTTCACGAGGACCTTAGTAGCATAAAAAAGATCCAGTCAGAAACAAAGGATACACTAATTGAAATAAAGAACCATTCAATAGATATGCAAGTCCAGGAAGCACAGAGTCCCAAACAAGATGGATGTAAAGAGCCCCACTCCAAGACACAGCATAATTAAAATGTCAAAAGCAAGATGAAGAGAGACTCTTAAAAGCAGCAGCAAGAGAAAAGAAGTTATCTACAGGGTAGTTCCCATTAGACTATCAGCTGACTTCTCTAAAGGAACTTTACAGGCTAGATGGGACTGGCAAGAAATATTCAAAGTCACAAAAAGCAAGGACCTAAAGTCCAGACTGCTCTACCAGCAAAGCTATCATTTAGAATCCAAGAGCAGATAAAGAGCTTCCCAGGCAAGAAAAAAACTAAAGGAATTCATCATTACCAAACCTTTATTATATGAAGTGTTAAAGGGACTTATTCAAGAAAAAAATATCAAAACTAGGAACAATAAAATGGCAAAAATATGTATCAACAATTGAATATAAAAAACAAGCCCTGGCTGGTGTAGCTCAGTGGATTGAGCGCAGGCCTACAAAGCAGAGGAGCGCAGTTTGATTTCCAGTCAGGGCACATGCCTGGGTTGCAGGCCAGTTCCCAGCAGGGGATGCACCAGAAGCAACCATACATTGATGTTTCTCTCCCTCTCTCCTTCCATTCCTCTCTAAAAAAATAAATGAATAAAATCCCTTAAAAAAACAAACAAACAAACAAACAAACTAAGCAAACAAGAACAGAGACAGATTCATGGATATGGAGAGCATTTTGATGGCTGCCACATGGGAGGCGGTTTAGTGGAGTCGGTGAAGAGGTGAGGGGACTAAGAAATACAAACAGGTAGTTGCAGGATAGCCACAGGGATGTGAAGTACAGTATAAGAAATGGAGTAGTAGCCAAAGAACTTACACACATGAGCCATGGACATAACAATGGCTGGGGGATTGCCTGAGGGAGTGGAGAGTGTCGGTGAAGGGGTCAAAGGGAGAAAAAATCAGGACAATCGTTAGAGCATAATCAATAAAATGCAAGTTAAAAATAAGTACATAAAAATTAAGGAGGTATAAAAAAAGAGATGAATATGGGGTTGGAGATTGGGTGAAGGGGTCAAATGGTACAAACGTCTTTTTATAAATTAAGTAAGTTCTGGGGATGTAATATACAGCACGGAGCCTACAGTTAGTAATACTGTATTGTACATTTGAAATCAGAGAGTAGATCTTAAAAATTCTTATCACAGGAAAAATTTTCTAACTACAGTGACTGAAATTAACCAGACTTATTGTGGTGGACATTTCACAATATTGAATTATTATGTTGTACATCTGAAACTAGTATGTTATATGTCAATTATATATTAAAAAAGTGGCTTTAGAGATTGTTACAGAGAAACTACAGTTACAGGAAATACTAATGACGCAACATATTAACAAGAAAATGGCACAACCGAAGTTTCTGTCTACAGCAAGGTTTTACTCAGCCAGGTTAGGAGGCGAAAACCCAAGTCAATCTAAATCAAATGAGGAGTCAAACAGAGAGAAAGTAGATACTTTTAAAAAAAAGGGTGTGAGGAAAAGAACTATTGTAACAGATGTATGCTGGGACATATACGCTGTTATGTACATTTAGCTGCCAAAAATGACTAATTACCCTTATTATCTACACATTTTAAAAACTTCAAATTATTTTCTTAACTGTTTACAAATCTCCCAGATGAACAATTTTAGTAGATCGTAAGCCTGTTTGTTAAAAATATTAAAAACCTTTTGATTAGTTTGTAAGAATGGTAATTGATTTAGGGCCATAGAAATAGAAAGGTACTAGCTGAACTTCAACAAAAATTTACCATGGTTGGTGGGCGAATTTCCAAACAGAGCCAGCTGACAATGTGTTTCTTCCCTCTGACTTGACAAATCTTCGTGAAGCTTCTTTTTCACCTTTACATTCATCAAAATTAAGCATCAAATTCAAGTTTTAGAGACAGAGCATCCAATTGCTGTACCACAATGAGTTAAGCCAAGAGCTTTAAACTAGTGAAGCATTTTTAATTACATGGCTCTCACAAAAAATTATTGGTAATTTTGGTGGCAAAGGGATTGTGTAAATTTAAAGCACAAGTTTTTTTTTAAATGGTACAATTTAATGTATTTTCATTTTGTTATACAAAATATAACAGTACATGTATATAATTTTTAGTTTTTAACTGATAGAAATGTGTGACCATAAAAGTTTGGAGATGACTGATTTAACCACAAAGAATATGATTTTAATCTACCTCATTTTTTGGTCCTTAATGAAAAACAGAAACCCTTATTAAACTAATAGTCTATAATAACAATAAAGAACATTACACTCAAAAGGGCTTTCTTCTTAAATGTAAAGGAAATAGGGTAATTAAGTCATTTCTACAATGACATTAAATTGGCAAAAAGTCCTACAGCAAACCATAGTCTAGCCTTTCCTTTTGATTCCTTCAGACCTGTTTTGTACCCCACTTCCTCGCTGAGGTGAATATTGTTTTTTCAATCTCAGAGTAGTTTTCCCAATAAAGTCCTTACAGCTATAATTACTCAATTTCCTAAACATTTCTGCATATCCACCATATGCAAGTGTCCTGCTAGACTGAGGGGAATAAATAGATGAGAAGCACGATTCCTATTTTTATACAAATTATTACAGTACAAAGTAGAATATGCCAACTGTTCTAAGGTTTCAACAGAAGTGTTGGAAGAGCCATGAGAAGTAACTTAACTGATTTACTAAGAAGGCAGCTTCTAGGAAGAGGTTCCCTGGAACTGGAGCATCAGAATAGCCAAGATCTCTACAGGAAGAGGCAGTGAGTGGGTAATCCAGGAGCTTACCCCTTTGGCTAGCTAGTTTAAGCCAAGTAGAGGCTAATTAATTCCTATAAGCCTTAATTTCTTTTTTAAGATTTTATTTATTTATCTTTAGAGGGGAAGGGAAGGAGAGAGGAAGAGAAATATCAATGTATCGTTGCCTCTCATGTGTCCCCTGCTGGGAACTGGCCTGAAACCCAGGCATGTGCCCTGACTGGGAATCAAACCGCGATACTCTGGTTCACAGGCCCGTGCTCAATCCACTGAGCTACACCAGCCAGGGCAGCCTTAATTTCTTTATTGTGAAAATTCAAAAGAAAGATTACCTTTTCCTGCTACATCTCTGACAATTATTTCCCACTACCATAATTCAAGCTCCACATCTGCTTAGTCTAGCGTTACCCACCCCCCCCAATACAGTTCCTCTAGCTTTAATTTCTCCCTGTTCCAATATGGACAGCATGCCAAGACCAACACAGTGTTGCAAAGTATGCTTCCGGTCATTGCCTCCTTACCCTCAATCACTGTCACAGAATCCTCGAAATCCACCAATTTAATGTTCAAACAACACACCACACTGTACTTCTCCACTCTCACCTCCTACTACTTTTCTTAGTAGTGATTCCCTATAATTCAGCCCTTCTGGCCCATTAATGTTCCATAATGGTCAGATTTGTACTAACTTTTCAAGATGTATAATGTTCCTGACATTTCAAATTAATTAAGGTTATCTTCTTCCTTTGACACCCTTCGTACTTTCTTTGTCCCTAAATTAAGGCACTTATATTCTCCTTGTATTATCATTATTTGGGTTACAGTTACTATCTCCACCTCCCAATTAAATTTTAAGCCCCTCAAAAACAGGGACTGTTATATTATTTGTACTTACCTCGTAGAGTACCTGGCAGTTTAATTCTGTTAAAATGAATAGAATAAATAAGAACTACTCGAACTATTACAGCCCTCCATCCCTTGCCATCTTCTAATTGCCTTTAGTGTCAATTAGTGATAAAATATTTTATTAATAATATCTCGATCACTCAGGCTCGGAATCTAACCTTTCTTGACTGTTCTCTTCTTACATGCCTTCTCCCTTACAAGCACTAGGGAGAAGCAATTCTTTGTTCATACTTATTTTTTTCTATCTAGTTCCATGAAGTCCAGCTTCCTCTTTTTGGTTCCCTGCCTTCATTTTCTCCACCCCCCCCCCTTACTCTCAGATTATTTTCCCTAGAACTCTACAGCCTTGCAGTCAACAACTTCAGTGCCTGGTCCCAGTTTCCCCTTAAGCTTCATTTCCCAACAATTTCTCCCCCTCCCTTGCATGAATCTTTGCTGTCCAGCAAAATGAGTTTATTCAGCATTTACTAAATACACCTTGTATTTTGATTGCCATACTCTCATATTATATTCAATGCCTACTTACCCTTCAGAACTAAGCTAAAATACCACTTGTCCCTCATCAGTATTCAATTCAGGAAGCCTCTAGTAGGTATAATAGTAAGAACCAATGTTTACTGAGTGCCTTCTATGTACCAGGTATTATATTAAGCATTTAATATAATGCTTAACATAACTGTACCTAGGAGGTAGGTACAATTATCATCTCATTTTACAATGACACAACTAAGGTTTATTGATGTTAAATATACCCAAGGTCACAGAGCAATTAAATGGTAGAGCCAGGATTTGAAATTAGGTCTGTAGGACCCCTCAGTTCAAGCTCTAATTATCATATCAACTCACCCTGTCCCAACATGTGGGGTAAGGAAGGGCTTCTGTGCATATACAGATTCTAAGAGGCAGGCCTATGAAGGTGCTCATGAAGGATGACCACTTAGGAATGGGCCTCATCTGACATCCACTGCTTTCCACTAGAAAGCTGTGCAACTAAAGAGATACAGCAGAAGACGCAAGTGGGAATCATCTATTGTAAAATCAAGCAGGTAGGGCGTTCAAACAGGACAATGAGTAGAACTAGTGCAGTAACTAGGCTAGTATCAGCAATCTTTTTCATAAAAGTTCTATCCTGTATTAGCTATATTAAGGAGAATAAAGGAATGGAATCTTGATTTATACCCACACCCAGCCCAGAGTTTTAAGAGCAGGACACTCTTTGGGTCAGTGGAACTTAAGAGGAAGAGACTGTGAAGAGAAGTGAGACCTAAAGAAAAAGACATGAGGGTATGGGCACACTCCCTGTTCCCCCAACTCAACAGTCCTTCTTCCTCTCCCCGCATTTCTCTACTCCTACTCTGGGCAACAGGAAAGTCACAACAGGAGTAAGAGGGCTGGGTTTTCTTTTAATTTTCCCAGATAGTAGGAGCACACAGCTTTCCCCCGACTTCTAACCTCCTGGCCCTAATGGTCCCGCACCTATGTGCTATTAAGTTCTTAAGCTCTTTCTTTTTCTGTAATTTTTTCATGCCTTCCCTCCTCAATTGGACTGTTGTTAAGGGTATGCTTTGTACCTATTGGACCACTTAGTACGATTCCTCACAAACATCAATTAAAAAAAAAAAAACTTGATGATGTTACTATTTTTTGCCCATTCAGACAGCATTCAATATTGCCTTCAAATTGGCTACTTGGAAAAGTTTCATGAAACTGCTCTACCACTTACCACAAGATAATTTTAAGCAAAATAATCTGTTTTCTCACCTATATAGTAACAATAAGAAACAGTATTTACCTCAGAGTTGTTGTGAGGATTAAATGAGTCAACACATGTAAAGCACTTAAGAGTGCCTGGCTGGCATTTAGTAGACACCAAAGAAGCATTTTAATTAAAAAAAAAACCAAAAACAAAAAACCCAAAAACTTCGGAGGTGTAACTTGTATTTCCCAATTTCCAGCCTACTTAAAAGATAAAAGCAATGGGAGAAAAGCAGCACATGTTGTAACACTTTAATTTTAGTGTCTCACAAATAAGTCCACATATGTGAGTTACCAAGGATGGGATAGTAACTCATCCTTGGTATAAGGACCCCAAAAAACCATCTTCTGGAGGGCTGGCCCTTACAGGCTTTCCCCACTACCTGAGTGTTCTAGGAACCCATCTGTGTCAGTGTACCAGCTGGCGTTGTGAGAGGCTGTGTTTGGTTTTAGTGAATTTTTTGAAGACTCTTTCAATGCCTTTGCCCATTTCATGTTGGGTGATTTATGTGTGCAAATCACCTGCCCACACTGTGCTGTGTGTTCAGCAGTTTTTGACCTTGACCAAAAAACGGCATGACCCCCATGCCCCACCCTCCTCATTCACCTCATCTCCTCCAGAGCAACTTCTATTTTGTTTGTTTCCCCAATGAAAAAAGTTCTCAGTGGGAAACAGCCATTGTGGAAGAGGTGAAACAAACAGCAAAAGCACTCAAATGTATCAACAGTGAGGAATTCAAAAACTGTTTTGAGTAGTGGAAAAACCTCTCCATAGGTTTAATGCATAAAATGGAGAGTACTTTGAAGTTGACTGAAGTTTAAACTGTAAGAATACACAATTTTTTATAAATAAATTCCATTTTGGGGACGGGGGTCCTCCCTCCTATTTAACCTCCCTGGCACTCAGTATCCTTATCTGTCAAATTAGGAGAGGGAAGGAACTGGGAGGAGAATACTACCTCTGGGGTCTCTCTGAGCTGAAAAACATTCTGACATTCCATCCGATTCAGGTAAGATTACCCCCAGCAACTGGTTCTTACCAAGGATAAATACAAACGATTTTCTTACAAACAGGGCTTGGAGTTACAAGCTCACTTTATTCCAAAGGCTATTTTCTAAACAGATCATTACTTTTTTTCCAGGGTGTAGTCTTCGAAGTTTAAACAAACTGCCCCCCTCCCATTTTTGAACAGAGCTACGAACTTTTAAAATGTTTAAAAAAGGTACCTTTAAGAGACAGCTAGCTACGCAAAGAATATCAATACTACCCCAGAAAGAAACACTAAGATTTAACCCTGTGTATTCAGATGCAATATAAAGTTAGAAAAAAGTGTAAATGCTTGGATCAAGTGGAAAATAAGCAAAACACTATGGCATCAATTAGCTAGCTTCCCTCTTTCTATTTTAAGATTGGTGGAGCCCTGGCTGCTGTGACTCAGTGGATTGAGTGCCAGCCTGAAAGGTGGCTGGTTGGATTCCCAGTCAGGGCATATGCCTGGGTTGCAGACCAGGTCTCCAGTTCGGGGTGTGTGAAGGCAATCAATTGTATCTCTCACACATCGATGTTTCTCTCCCTCCTTTCCCCTCTCTAAAAATAAATAAATAAAAAATTAAAAAAAATTGGTGGAATCCGCCTGAAATAATGAACAAGAATACTGCACAGTAATCAGGGGCAATACAACTTGGAGAAACATTCTGGAGCAAGCCGTCCTTATGGTTTTCTATGTAATAAAGCTATTCATTTGGCCAGCATATACAGCAAGAGTGCTTTGTTGATCCGGTTACAATGAATTCTCCACAATTCAATTCAATACATATTTACTGACCACCTCTAAATCCATGGAGCGCTGGCCTGTACAATAAATGCTTTCTTTGGTCCCAGGCCATGTAACAGCCACTCTCTATAACGAAAGTATCTTATTGTGTACTGACTGGCACTGCGGGGAGGGGAGGGGGCACTGTCAGAGCAAACTGTACCTGAATTTTTCAATTATTCAATACACTGACTAAATCGAATTTCAAAATGAGAAGGGCCTTTTGAGAAAACCTAGTTAATATTATTAATGACAAAACTGACAGCTGACAAAACGTGTTGTCTTATTCAAGGTCACTCAGGGAATCATTCCTCTGATCTCACAGTGTAATTTCCACAAGTTCTCTTCACTCTCACCCACACCACGTTAAGAAAAGCAGCTACCCAGAACTGAAAAAAAATCCACCTAATCTTTCTGATAAGGTGCATTTCTAAAGCCTTCAAAATACTCCATAAAGCAGAAAGAGAGTGGAATGCGTATGTCTCTACTAGATCCGAATCTCTTCTTGATCCATTCTAAGCTTCAACTATTCTTTAATCCCCGTTCAGGGGTGGGGTGGAGTGAGGAGAAGGAATGATCTGGAACTATGTATGGTGCGCTTCAAAACGTGCCCATTTCTCGGCCTTCCACATTTCCCACCAGGACCTGAAGGACCCCGAAAAAAAGTCTCACTGGAATCAAAGCAAATGGCGACAAAGGGAAAGCAGGAAAAAGAGGCTGGGGTCATGGGCTCGCTCGCGACCCTGTCCTCAGAAACGTCTAACGACGACGACGACACTGTGGGCGAGGGGCCCGGAAAGGGCAGCCGGCCTCTCTCCTGTCCCCGAGCACCCCTGGTCACTAGACCCTCGCCCCCTTCCACCAGGACCTGGGGGTGGGGGTAGGGGGACGCCTCCCGAGGGGACGGCCCTTCCTACAGCCGAGCCTGGAGAGGGAACAGGCACTCTCTTTACATCCAGCCGGGTGCCTGAAAAGGGGACCCCAGCGTCGCAGCTACAGAGCCCACCCTCACACACACCCCTCCGGCGGCCCCGCCCGCCCCCCACAGAGGCCGGCCCAAGTCTCACCGTGAGCCCCGGGAGCGGCTTTGGGGCGCTGGGAGAGAAAGGGGAGCTGACTCTGGGGCTCAGATGGGCTGAAGGGCGCTGCAAAAGGACCTAGGCCCTGCCGACGCCTCCACACAGACACAATGAGTCACAAAGGCCGGAAGTGTGTCAGCACCTCGCCTTCCGGGGCCGTGCTGTGCTTCCGGATTCTCTCTAGGAGCGCCGGAGGATTTTGCTACTCGGTTTCCAAATTTCTAGACCCGGCCCCAGTGGTTTGGGTGGGTGATTAAGCCACCAGCTTTGAGTTTCCTGTCCTTAGTTCGTGCGCCCCGAGTTGGTGATGGCAGTTCAAACCTTATGAAATACAGACTGTTCAGCCCAGGCAGCAACTCATGTGAAAATTCGGTTTCTCCGCTCTTCCATCTTGGGTAGTCCTTGTATAATTATGGTTATTATCAAGCAATATTTAGTAATTGTATGTTTGTATCAGAGGAACAGAAACATGGGTGTTGACAGAGGAGGATCAAAGTGAAGCCAGGGGTGGCTGGTTTCACAAAATTGCCCTGGTAGTTTCTCTTGGGCCCTGGACATGTCTGCCAATTGAGTGGGTGGTATTTTTCAAACACTTGGGGGTGGGTTGTGGGGAGGACAAAGGACGTCTTTACAAAATCGAGTCAGTTATAAGGGTCTGTGTTTTGCTTATGTGGCATATGCTATTATAGCAGTTTAAAAGGAGTTTTCATAGTTATAGCCACTTTTACCTTCAAGGTGCTTTTGCAGCTTATTATTATGACCTTCACCTTTAACTGGCAAGTTGCAAGGGTGATCACAACCTTTAATGGTTGTGATTTTGCTCTATGTTCCAAGACAAGTTCATGGAGAGACTGGTGGCATGACTAAAATTGCTTGGGGGGGATTATTTAAGAAACAAAACAAAACACTTGAAAACTAAAAAGCAATTACAGTACCATTAAATGAAAATTGAAAAATGGAGAAATAATCATCTGTAATCCCTCCACCCTGACTATGATGGCTTTAATTTATCTTTTCCTGTTTTCATATATATGTTATATATTTTTAATTTATTATTTTAAACACAGTTCAAAACTATAGTTGTATTGTATATGTGACTGGCATGCTTGAAGAACTTATCACATTCATGCTGTAACGACCACTTTTTGGACCACAGCTTATTGGATTAGGTTTGGGCACCTAATGAAAGCACAATTTATATATGTGCTGACCTTGGCAACTATAGAGGTGGCCTGGCTTGAGAGCTCTGACTAATGGAACAATAGATCCCCTTTCTTGGGGAGTTTAAATGTGAGACAAACAGAAAACGGGGCGGGGGGGTAAGCAGAAATCAGTAAGCAGAAGCTGTTAGGTGATAGAAGCCATGAAGCCGCAGAAGTCTTAAGTAAGCAAAGGCTTGAGAGAAAAACGAACTGAGCTGTAGAAATAAAGACAGATGCACCCAATGGCAGAGCAGGCTCATTGAAGAAGCCCAGCCATCTAGTACTTAAGGCCCACAGCATAATGGAGGTGATGGCTTGAACAACCTTCAGACCTCAAACAATGTTTATTTTCTGCATTGCTTGACTTTGCTGCAGCTGTCATTATGCCCTGTCTCCCTACTTCCCTGCATGTCCTTAGAATAAACCTCTGGCTAGCAAAAGAGTCTAACTTTGTTCCTTGACACCTGGAAAAGCCCAATGTGATTGGTGTGAAATTAATATATACTACTTAAGATAATATCATATCATTAACACTTTAAATTTTTCTACACAGAATGGATAATTAATGCTTTAATAGCTATGTAGTATTCTACTGAGCAGCTGTACCATTAATTATTTAATAATTCTTCTATTTCTAGATATGTAGAGTACTTCCAAAGTTTGGCTAGTTTACAAAATATTTAAATGAACATTTTTGTGCAAATACCTTTTGGCTTATTAGGACAGATTCTGGTAAGTGGGTTTACTGAGTTAATAGGTATAAACTTTCAAAATATATTTTTCCCTCAAAGATGTTTAATTTTCATCCTGCACAAAGTTACTTACACCAGAATGGTGGCAAATGTCCTTCCATTGACCTTGATTAATTTATTGGATTGCATCAGAATTATGGCAGAATTTATTTATTCATAGCCATTTATCACCTATTACGTATCATGGATTATGCTTAATTTTGGAGGATATAAAAGTGACATTGTGCTGGTCTGCAAGAAGCTTACAGTGACCAATGTGTGGGTCACCGAAATGCATAGTGAAATGATGCATAATCTCTTACCACATAAACACACTTCTCTGGCCTGGTTGCAGGTTTCCCAGGGCAGAATTAAGGGTTCTGTGTGGCCCCTCTTCTGAAGGTTACTCTCTGCTAGTGAAAAATGGGGTTGTCTCAAGCCTGCTCCAAGGTCAACAATGTTGCAGCTTCTCCTGCTGCCCCTCAGTCCACTGCTTATTGCTGTCTTCTCTGAGTTCCCCGGCTTGGAATAACCTTTTGGACCTATGAAAGGTCCATAATACAAGACTGTTATGCACAATAGATTTAATCCTAGATTTCCAAATCAGTGGGGAAAATTATAGTAATGAAGGCTGGAATCAACCTCAAAGCGATTATTCACATTTTTAGGCCTCCCAGCCAGCAGGATTTATCCCTGGCCAGCTCTCTGATGCTTAGCCCTGCAGCTCCCCGCTACCCCCACCCCACAAGCCTCCTTATGTCTTTCTTCTATGAACCTAACAATCTCTTGGAGCCTTTATTATCCTGAGCGTTAATTTCCTATATACATACCTCAGTTTGCCTCATCCCACCCCTCAAGTGCATATGGGCCAGGCAGCCAATGGGTAGGATAAATTTAATTGTTACCTGGCTGTGAAGTGGGTCTGTGGGTACCCACTCATATGTTGAGCACATAGCCTGGCTGAGGGAGGAAGTCATTCTTTAGGCTATTGCTGCCACCTGGGGTGTGGACTCACAATGAACAGACAGGCTCATTTTTCCAAGGAGAGAAGAGAAATGGGATTTTTAGGTGAAATTTCTCCATTTTTAAATGGTACCCAGCAAACAAACAAGGGGCACACTTGCACAGGGCACATGCACACGTGCACCCTCCGTGGTGGAAGCAGACAGGTTTGCAGGTAGGGGGTGTGTGCTACTGGTCTTGGCCCCATGGCCAAGGGGATCCCCTTTTCTTAAACAAAGAAGTCTCAGGGAGTTTGCCTAAACAAAGAACCATCTGCCAGTGAAGTGAATGCTGATCATCCTCTATATTGCTGATCAATCCTTCCATCCTCCATGGAAGCACAGTTGCAATTCCTTCCCTTTCAACAAATAGACGTTTTTTTGCATATTGTATGAGGAAATGATGCAATCTGGAGTTAGGCCCACTAGGCCCTCAGTGAGGACGCTGATGGATGTGGCTGGTTGTTTTTATTTTATTTATTTAGTTAAAAAATATTTACTTATTTTACAGAGAGGGGCAGGGAAGGAGAAAGAGAGGGAGAGAAACATCAATGTGTGGTTGCCTCTCATGCGCCCCCCGACTGGGGACCTGGCCCAAAACTCAGGCATGTGCCTTTACTGAGAATCAAACTGGCTACCCTTTTGTTTGCAGGTCAGCACTCAGTCCACTGAGTCACACCAGCCAGGGCTGGCTGGTTGTTTTTAATTTCTAGCAGCACTATCTTAAAACAGAACCAAACTTCCCAATTCTCCGTGGCCGTCAGTGCCATGGGGAGTGTGATGACCATGCACAAATTCCTGAGGAGTCTGTGAGGTCCCCACTAGTCCTGCTTGCAGAAAGGCTAGTACTCCCTGGGCAAGGTGGAAGGCTGGAGCAGGAGGAAGCCACAGGAGGCTCCCCTGGCGTTTGGGCAAGGAGGCCTCAGCCAGATCCAAGTCGACCATTTCTGAATTGTGTAATCTTCCCCAGACACTTCATATCTCTCAGCTGTAGCTGGTCACTAAAAAATGAGCAGAATAATATTTCAGTCCCCTTTCTACCACCCAGCACAAGATGAGTCAACACCTGGAAAAATGTCTGATAAGTGCTACTCAAATATTGATTTATGCTGCACTAATGTGGCTTTCACCGAGAAAAGGCTTCGAGAAGACCTGACAGGTGTGTGTGACGAGGGAAGGGGTGGAGACAGGTTGGTGGATAACAAAACCTTTCTTTTCCCCAAAGATATGGAAAACATTTCCCAGAAACCATAAGGAATTACAAAACTCAGCTTGGAAGGCAAAAATACATGAGTCATGATTTTTTCCTGCTGTGTCTGGTGGCTACACATGGAAGGTGGCATAGACTGGGTTTTAAATCTTTGCTGGAATATTCACTTCCTGTGTAAGTTTGGGCAAGTTAGTTAAGCTCTCCGAGCCTTTGTTTCTGTTACAGGTTGACTTGTGTTCTCCAAAAATGGTATGTTGGAGTCCTAAACCCCAGTACCTCAGAATGTGATCATACTTGGGGGTAGGGTTTTTACAGAGGTAATCAAGTTAAGTTAGGGGTGGGCCCAAATCCAATATGACTGGTGTTCTTATGAGAGGACATTTTTACACATTCCCACACAGAGGGAAGACAATGTGAAGAGACACATGGAGAAACTGGCCATCAACGAGCCACAGAGAAAGCCCACAGAAAGAACCAACCCTACCAACACCTTGATCTTGATCTTCTAGCCTCCTGAACTATAAGTAAATTTCTGTTGTTTTTCGGTGCGTGGCACTTTGTCACAGCAGCCCTAACAAATACAGTTCTTCAGTTCCAAACTGGGGGCCGTGGTACCTACCTGAAAGGTGACTGTGAGGATAACATGGGTATAGATGGTGAGGAGGTGCCATCTTGGTTCCGACCTGAATCCACCCTGGGAGTTCAGGCATGTCTGGGCCATTTGAACTGAAGGAATGTGTCCTCCTCAGGTGGACTTGCAGGAAGGCCTGAGAAACCGCCTGAGGCATAGCTCACATCATGTGAGGGGCTGGCAGACAAGTCTTGAGACAAAGACAATGCTTTAGTCATCACAGGGGACCACACTTCTGAGCATGGTGTGATGCTGCAGCCCCTCAGATTTTCTCCATGACCTGGCTCCCTGTGGCTATCTGTCCCAGTCTCACAGCCCTTAGGGCATACATGTAGAAGCAGAATT